AAAAAAAAAAAAAAAAACAAAAAAATGCAAAATCCAAGTGTTTTAAGTAGGCGAAGTAAGCCGAAAGTAGAGAGTAAGCAAGTAGCAATATACAATAATGTAATAATATTTTGTATTTTAATATATTATTTTCGTTTGTAATGTTGCAATTTTGCAATTTTGCAATTTTGCAATTTTGATATTAGCACTTTAAATGAAATCACCCAATCAGATATTGACCAATGGTATTTCAAAGTATGACTTTATTCAACAGAAAAGGAGCTTCAGCTTCCAGACGAAGATTCATTGAGTCCCGAAGTGAAGGCCTTTCGCGAACAATTTAGGCGATGCTATTTACTTAAATGCCAGGCGCGCATTGCCGCCTGTCGGAGGCATCTTTTGCGTACTTATACCGGAGTTTTTACAGGCAGTGATCTTGTCAGTTGGCTAATAGAAGCCGGAATCGCCTCGGATCGCGAAGAGGCAACGTATTATGGCCGCTGCCTCCTCGATAGCAGAGTACTGAATCACATTGACAGCACTCAACATTTTTACGATCGAAATTTCTTATATACTTTTCGGGGTTGATTTTTCATTGTCCGTCTCCATGTCAATGTATACGTTACGTACATTTGTTGTAGGCATTTGTCGTAAGAAAGTAAATATTTCGGTGATAAAAATTATGAAATATTTTCGTTAGAAATTAATAGTGTTATTGTCTTCGGTATGTATATATAAAGATTAGTATAATTATTAGAGGAATTGTGACTTGTTTGAAAAAGCCAAATTTAACAAATGGCAGTTTTTCAAAAGTATTAAAAACGATGGATGGAACTTCTTTTTTTTATTATAGAATATCCATTTTCATGTATGATCTCTCGTGTTTAAAAATCTAAAAATCTTATTGTAAATTGATATTCTGTTTAGGGAAGAGGGAAATTAGATTATTGTCTTGAAGAAAATTTTTAGTTCCTATAATTTATATATTTATTAAAATTTAAAAGCCTATTTTATTATTTTCATGAAATGGAAATAAATACATTGCTGCAGTAGCAACAGAATTTGTTTGTCTTATCAAATAATAGTGATGATTTTTGTAAGCTTAGCGAATATATTGGATTGAGTAACGAATGTAGCGCAGGCGCCATTTGATTATATTATATGTTAATATAAAGACACGGATGCCAAGATACATTTCTATAAAATATCATTTATTTATTTAAAAGATGCATCGATAATTGACTATACGTATATAATTATAAGTAGTATATTTGAATGTTAAATTATAGTCAGAAATTTAACGTTTGCGTAAACGAAATATTGCATCACATATTCAATCTAGTAATAAAAATAGCATAATAGACTGGTTCGTTTGTAATTCTATACAATTTTTGTTATAAAATAAAAATATATATTTTACTAAACAAACAATAAAAAAATACTGTGTCAAAGCGTACATGTATTTCAAATAAATGCACGACAAAATGATTCGCATTTACTTTTTTATCATATCTCCAAATCGTCGTCAGGATCCTCTTCGTCGAAATCATCCGGTACGTAGAAAATTTTAGATTCTTTTTCAGGATTATCCGACAAAATATAAGGAAGAGGTACGCTGTCTCTCTGTCGTATTTCAGCTTCGCTCATATCTAATCTGAAAGAAGCCTGTGGCTTCGCAGCTCCTTCTTGAGATTTAGTCGTTTTTGTCGCTTCACCCGAGCTATCGGGAAATTTGAAGTCTACAATCGAATCCGATCGAAGAACACAATTTTCAATATTCTGCTGTACCATTTCGCTCCAACGAACTATACTACCGCGAGTCTTTCTCTGAGTAACCGAGATTTTATAATAAATGTTTGATCCAAAACTAACTTGCTCAGATTTTTCCAATTTCACATAAACGTTACCTAAGGATTCTACTCTAGGAATAACTTGGTAAAAGTCTCTTCTGTGAATACAAAAAACTTCAAACTTGTGATTTTTAGATAATTTTTCCACAAATCTGCACGTGTTGGCTGGCCCAATTTGTAAAGCTAACGTGCCCAAGCAATCGATTACCAAAATTGAATTTGTACGTTGGGCAACGAAGCTTTTCAATTGTTCGTGCACGTCGACATCATCGTCATCTATATTTAAATTAAAATAATCTTGTACTTCGAAATTTGTCAGCCCCGACGATTGCAGATACTTGGTCAAGGAATATTTTGGAGTAGAAAATAACAAGATATCGATAGGATTGTCTATTTTCTTCTTTCTTAATGCCAGTAACCAAGCAATTATCAAGTGCTTACCATACGTTGCATTAATTCCTAAAATCAAAGTTGTATTTACAATTAAAAATTTCGTATTTACCAGTTAATGTTCATCTCCCCCCTCACCCCTTCCCCTCGCCGTCACCTCCGACAAGCCCACAACTTTACATAAGAGTACTATTTAATAATTCATAAGAAAAGCCGTATCTAATTCCCACAACGTAACTCTTTTCTCCGGACATTTCTAATTTATAACTTTAATTTTATTATTTATAAATAATAACAAAGCGCACAAACAAGCGGCATTATTGCTTTTACATTAAAAGTTCAAAGGTTATATTTACTTCCGAAGACCATTGTTTTACCTTCATCCACAACGATAAACTTGTTGCACTCATTTAGCGAAAGATTTAGCAGCTGAGTCATTATACGATGTATGCAACAATATCTAAGTTTATTGCTCTCCTTTCAATTTCATTAAATACTATGGCCACTTATAAAAATACGACACTGCCGTGTAAGATAGAGTCCGGCATGGTAGACCGGCCATGAGTCTCTCTCATGCACGCACACGCGCACGCACACCGTAACGCGCGCGCAAAAATCTGTTTTATAGTATATTAGGGCGATAACACCATAGACACCGCGGCAATCACGCATACTTTTACGTCTAAGTGACGAGACGATAGCGATACATTATGAATGTTATCGGCCATCATTTTTAAGCGGTTTGACCTGTATTTTGTTACGTCGGGAGCATCATGTAAATAAGGGTTGGATATGCAGCTTTGAAATTGTCATAGATGTGATTGTCATTGGGAGGGAGAGAGAGAGAGAGAGTGTGCGATTTCGTTTAGAGTAACATTTGCAGGACACATTGAGACATCTTCGAAACGCTTCGCAACGACTAGTTGTACAATTGATTATAACTATAGTCCTAACCCGCCCCGTGCACAGGTATTTTCTAACCTATAATACAAACCAATTCAAATGAATGTTTTGTTAACATAGCATTGTTTTTGTAGCACTTGGACTATTATCGAAATTAACCTAAGAATTTAGCTTGCTGGACTTTTATATAATTTTGATTTAATTATCGATTATGCTTAGTGATGATAAGCATTTTAAGTAAGGAAGAGTTACGATAGCATTTTTGCACAGTTATAATTGACGAAGCGATGGGTTCTTATGACTTATGAATGTTGAACTATATATGAAAACTTATACTTTGCTCTTTGTATTTTTTTTTAGATATGAATTCATATTAGTATACGATTAAGTTTTTCGATATTGAGTGGATAATTTGTCATTGTAAAAATGACAAGTTCGCTTGTTCAGCAGTTTGTTCAGCGGCTCAAATCGAAACACGAAGATGCTCGTAACAAGGCGGCTCGTGAGCTCTGTCTTTACGTTAAGACGGAGTTGCGCGAGGCCACTCAAGAAGAAATCACCATGTTCATGGACGAATTCAATCACCACATCTTTGAAATGGTATCTGGCTCCGATATTAACGAAAAGAAAGGAGGAATACTGTCCATCGTTTGCCTCATCGGTGCCGATGTGGGAAACATCAACACACGGACTATAAGATTTGCTAACTATCTGCGCAATCTGTTGCCATCCAACGACGTGGGAGTCATGGAACTGGCTGCCAAGACGGTGGGTAAGCTGGCTCTGGTGTCGGGCACCTTTACAGCTGAGTACGTGGAGTTTGAAGTGAAACGTGCCTTCGAATGGTTGAGTGGCGACAGGCATGAAAATAAGAGGCACGCCGCCGTTCTCGTTCTCAAAGAGCTGGCAGTCTCCATGCCAACCTATTTCTTCCAGCAGGTGACTCAGTTCTTCGAGCTTATATTCAATGCAGTGCGCGACTCGAAGCCCGTGATTCGCGAAGGTGCTGTGGAAGCCCTGCGAGCTGCTCTGGTAGTCACCGCCCAGAGAGAAACCGCGAAGCAGATGCACAAGTCCCAGTGGTACAAACAGTGCTACGACGAGATAGTGACCGGCTTCGAAGACGTTTACAGCAGGGAGAAGGGCTTCAATAAGGACGACAGGATACACGGCTCGCTTTTGGTGCTTAACGAGCTCCTACGCTGCAGTAATCTGCAATGGGAGCGGCATTACGAAGACCTGATGGAGCGTCTTAATTGCTCCTCCCAGGGCAACGACAACGATATCCTCTCCCTAATGCCTCGGCTCAAGACGAATCTGGTCTCCAAGTGGTCCTCCCCTCCTCAAAATTCAACCAACGTCCAGCACAGCCTTTACCCAGTCCACGAGTCCGCCGCCTGTCGTAGCCTCATGCTCGAGAAGCTCGACGACATGAACGGCGACGTGATCAATCAACGTCACAGCCGTAACAGTCACATTCAAAACGCTCTCATGACTCTCCTGCCGCGGCTCGCAGCTTTCAACAAAGCCAAATTCGTCGCCGACCATCTACGCGAGTGCCTGAACTACCTGCTGCTGAGCCTCAGGGGCCGAGAGAAGGACAGGGCCGCGGCGTTTACGACCATAGGCCTAATAGCCGTCGCCGTTGACGAGGACATCAAACCCTACCTGCCCAAGATCATGGATGTCATAAAGAGTTCGCTGCCCTCGAAGGAGACGCCGAACAAGAAGAGAAGCTCGCCCCTCGAGCCCGCCGTCTTCGTCTGCATAACGCTACTCGGTCACGCCGTCGAGCAAACCATCACGGCCGACGTGAAGGATCTGCTCGAGCCTATGCTCGCCACCGGCCTGTCGCCGATACTCACCACGTCGTTGCGCGAGTTGGCTCACAGTGTGCCCTCCCTCAAGATGGACATTTCCCAAGGCCTTCTGCGGATGCTCTCGCAGGTACGTGGGACCTTTTCTTATTCGACGTTCCAATTATTCCCCAATAGTAGCCCGGTCGAGATCACGCGGTGCTGGGACAACGTCTTTAGTAGGGCGGATGGATTTAACGGCCCGATGATCGTTAGCGAGTGAAATGATGTCGTTTGTGTTAAGGGACGTCAGGGTCGTCAGGCTAATAAATTTTTGCTCCGTCTAATCTGCTTAGGTAATAATGTCCGATGCGACTTTCGGCGAAGGGAAAAAGGTATAAACGATTGTACATGTAGTGGAATTTTACTTTGTTTCATAAAAACATTAATAATATAGTAATTAATAATGGCAGATGATTGAATGAGTCTACATAATAAAATCGAAGTAATTATACGATTACACTGCGTACTGCATTCGTTTGACGAGAATAAACAATCGATTATTGCTCATAATGTATCTCTCAATGCTTTCTCAAATGAGAGTTAATTTAAGGAAAATAAAGTTGATCGTAAGGAAGTAGTGGCGTCTACCGCATATTCTCGATATCTTTATTCGTTTATAACGTTTAATTAATATCGACTGTACGTCTGATTTCTAAGAAAGCGCGATGTTTAATTTTCGCTGGCTTGTTTTGACATTATTAACGGATTAGGTTAGATACAACGGCGAATGAAGGTTAGTAAATGATACGTGACGTCGGAGCGCCCAATGGTCAATCGACCAACGAGCGAAAATTTAAATGCAAATTAATTATATTAGAATATTAGATGGATTAATTTGAATTTCCAAGCTCAACGATTTTTTTACCTCACCTTGCTGGCAAAATTTCACTTGTTTTACCCATCCCAACGTACCTACTAATCCGTTAAGAAATTTATCGTAAACCAGTACTGTGATATGTATATCTAAAAAATCCTTTAATTATTAACAGATATATTTGTATATAATATTAAAGAATTAACATTTTTGTTATGTTGCTTATACATAATTTTATGTATGCCTTGTCTATTGATAATCGTCAGTTTACATCAAAGCAACTCGTTCGAAGCGCGCTCCCACACATCATTGTATAACTTGGTTTTGATTTCAAAATTACAGGTATATTCAAATGCATTAAAAGATCGTTTCTTCGCAAACTGTTATAGCCATATTTTAATTTTTGTACATTTTTCCGAGGGTAGTAGTGAAAAGATACGAATAGATTGACAGAGACGAGCGGCGATGCTAAAATTTACATGTAATTTAAGCGTTATTCTAAATTTAATAATATATAACTCAAGAGAGAGAGAGAGAGAGAGAGAGAGAGACAAAAAGATCATAAAGACTCTCGTCACGTTTAATTGCAGGTGCTAATGTACAAGCCGTTGCGTCATCCGGGTGCTCCGTGGATGGCTTCGAGTCCGATTTCAGCACCACCCACGGAAATAGACGTGGCGTCCACGGTCCTCGGTCTCCGTACTCTCGGGACCTACAATTTTGATGGCAATCCCCTGCTGCAGTTCGTCCGCCGCTGTGCCGATTACTTTCTCACCTGGGAAGAGCCGGAGGTTCGCCTAGAGGCCGTTAAAACGTGCTCGCGACTCTTGCGTTTGGCTCTCAGTCAGCCGGGACCTACAGTCACCAGCACCGTCTCGAGTGTCCTGGGCAAGCTCCTCGTCGTTGGCATCACCGACACTGACGCAGACGTGCGCTACTCGGTCCTCGCCTCCCTCGACGAGCCATTCGACATACATCTCGCTCAGGCAGAAAGCTTATCCTGCTTGTTCGTCGCTATGAATGACGAGGTTTTCGAGATACGCGAGCTAGGCAAGTCATTCGTTTAATTAAATAGCTTATCTTCGCTAACTACCGAACATGAATCTCTGCCAAAAATTAGTCGTAATTATTGTTTTTCCCCTCCCTCTCTCTCTCTCTCTCTCTCTCTCTCTCTCTCTCTCTCTCTCTCTCTCTTATTTCGTTATAAAAACAAAAAAGAAAAATAAACAACAACAACTCATTGAAGACTTGAATCTTAACAATAACATCATCGCGCAAAAATTGTTTACTTAATATTCTAAAATTATAACTTTAACCGACAAGCATAGAAGCAAATAATGCATTCAATTATTTTAAACTGAAAGCAAAGCTAAGATCAACTTGGCGTTAAAATTACGCGCAAATACGGTAGACAGAGGCGTTTAAAATCAGTTTTTATCAATACAAACTAGCGAAATAATAATAAATAAATAATTCAGCGATCCGCACGATCGGGCGCCTCAGCGACATGAATCCAGCCTACGTGATGCCATCGTTACGCAAGACCCTCATCCAATTTCTTACGGAGCTCGAGCACTCGGGCATGGGACGGAACAAGGAACAAGCCGCTCGTATGCTCGATCACCTTGTCGTTTCGGCGCCACGGCTCATTCGACCCTACATGGAACCGGTGCTCAAAGTCCTCGTGCCGAAGCTCAAGGAACCCGAGCCAAATCCGGGTGTCGTACTGGCCGTGCTCAGGGCCGTGGGCGTCCTCGCCGAGGTGAGCGGTGCCGAGATGCAGCCTTGGATGCCCGAGCTGCTTGCCATTTTGCTGGAAATGCTCGTCGACGCATCGTCCCCGGAAAAACGAGGCGTGGCACTCTGGGTACTCGGCCAGCTGGTTGGGAGTACGGGTCACGTAGTGCGCCCCTACATGCAGGTATACAACCATTCGTTTTAATCGGTAACCTATCAATGTTGGGGACGAGAGTCCCACTTCAGAATCATAAGAACTACGAATTATCGGACAATTGTCAAAAAGGAATTTCGAGCGGATGTGCAACGTACGCTTTTAACACGGCAGTTATCACGTTCCCCCCTTGGTTCTTGTAAAAAAAATAAAAAATAAAAAAAAAACACGATCGATCGAATTAGTAAAAATGTGCGTGATGATGATGATGTACCTTATAATCATAATATCATAATAATAACCGTAATGGTATGGGACGATTAAAGGAACGATTAAAGATTAAAGCTCTAAGGTAGCATACGTTAATTAACTTTAAATCAATAGGGATCGTTAATAATTAACTTTGCCTCCTGGGACAGTACCCGTCGCTCCTCGACGTCCTCATGAACTTCCTAAAAACGGAGCAGCAGCCGGCCGTGCGCCGCGAAACGATTCGCGTGCTTGGCCTCCTTGGCGCCCTCGATCCCTACAAGCACAAGATGAACCTCGGGCAGATCTCGTCGCCGCAGCTCGAGGCTCTGAGCTCGACACCCTCGGCTGACGCGCGACCCGAAGCCGTCGACGAGCTCAGCACCAGCGAGATGCTCGTCAACATGCCCTCGGCCACCCTCGAGGAGTACTACCCGGCTGTGGCTATCGCCACGCTCATGCGTATCATACGCGAGCCGACACTTGCACAGCACCACACGATGGTCGTCCAGGCGGTGACGTTTATCTTTAAGAGTCTCGGCATCAAGTGCGTGCCATATATATCCCAGGTAAGAGGTCGTATTTGCGAGAGGACGTGTACGTCTCCACGTGTTGTTCCAACAATGTGGCGTCTGGCGTCAGATTCCGTTAACAAAAAAAAAAGATCCTATCGCTTTTTTATTGCGTTGAAGTACACATAAAAATCCCGTGAAAATCCACTTATTGAATACAGAGTTTGATTTAATCGATAAATCCTTACAGTACCGAACTTTTCTTTCCCTTTTTCCTTTAATTTGATCATGATATTCGCTAATTTGTTTTCCTTCTGTTGCAATGTAGGTGATGCCGAGTTTCCTGAATGTGCTGCGTACCGCTGACGTCGGCTTCCGCGAGTACTTGTTTCAACAATTAGCCATACTCATAGCAATAGTTAAGCAGCATATACGCAACTACCTCGACGACGTTTTCGCGCTCGTTCGTGAATTTTGGACGTGGAACAGTCCTCTCCAGAGTACTTTGATACATCTAGTTGAGCATGTAGCCGTAGCTCTTGGTGCTGAATTTAAAATATATCTACCTCGATTAATGCCTCAGGTAATCTATGGTAAAGTAATGGATATTGTCATATTCGACTACATGCCGTAAATCGACGATTATAGTTAGTTTTAATAAAATGTAAAGTCTCATTAATGTTTAAATATTTTTATCGGATGGATGAAGAATATCTCCTTTATAAAGTACATGAAAGAGAGAGAGAGAGAGAGAGAGAGTGTGTGTGTGTGTGTGTGCGCGCGCGCGCGCGTGTTGCGTGTAGCAGAAATATGCGAATGACAAGTTATAAATTCTTTACAATGACTTTTATGGAACTTTTCGCAATTCCTTAAACGCTTTGTAATTCATCGCGAAGCTTACGGCATCGAGGTACTGCCTCAGAGGACATTCAACTCTTTTTAGATACTTGTCTCGCAACTTTCGACAACTGCGTGGGTTCGTTTATGATATTCGCGATTTTCAATCTCATTCAAATACAAAAAAAAATACAAAAAAAAAGTCAAAGAAAAGATTTTCCAAATCACCGATATTACTTGCATCGAGGATTCGTCCATTTTGTGTTCTATCATTCATTTTTATTTTAAACGTCTTTCCATTAGATGAACGCTAATTGAGAGCTATTATTTTTAACCTAATAATAAGCGATATACGAGCATTACCAAATTATACATTATCGATTAGTGATTAAAGTAACGTTGAAAAATATTATATTTTACAGATTTTATCCATGTAAATGTGTTGATTATGCTTCATCCGACAGAGGCTTTGGCAGATATTATATAATTTACAATATGGCATTATTAGCGAATGAAGGGAGTTGTACTAAAGCACAATTGGCTTACCAATATAATATTGGTAATTACCGATAAATATAATATCGTTGATCGTCAGCCATTAGCCATTGTATGCGAGTTTTTACGTAACGAATAACAATTAACATTTATTTTGTTTTCTTTTGTTTTTATTTCGGAGCACACGTGAAGTCACGTACAGTCTTATAATAAGCAATTCAAGAACGTATGCTTTAATGTTTTTCAGCGGATATACGCGCAAAGAGTAGCCGCATACTCTTAATAAGAGGACTATTGTAATGTTTTGCAGATCCTTCGCGTACTTAGTCACGATACGAGCAAAGAGCGACAGGTAACAGTGAAGCTCTTGCTCGCCCTTCAGAAATTTGCCGGCAACCTCGACAATTACCTTCACCTGGTGCTGCCCCCGGTCGTCCGCCTGTTCCAAGCCTCACCTGACTGCCCGGTCGCCGTGAGCCGTTGCGCCCTCGAAACGGTCGAACAGCTAGCCGAGAGCCTCGACTTCACGGACTTTGCCTCCCGGATAGTGCAGCCCCTCGTGCGCACCCTCGACCAATGCCCGGAGTTGCGCAGCCCTGCCTGCGAGACGCTGTGCGCCTTGTTGCTCCAGCTCGGGCCCAAGTTTCAAATTTTTTTACCCCTGGTGCAGCGTGTGATGGCGCGCCACCGGATCGTCCATTCGCGCTTTGAGAGCCTCGTCGACAAGGTCCAGAGCGAGGCGAGGCTGGGTGGCCAGGGTCGCTTCGAGGCCTCCGAGCACGATCACCTGCTGTTGAGCAGCGCGAGGCAAAGGCAAGCGCGTAGCAAGAGCCAAAGAGCGGAGCTCGGACTTGCCTCCGCCGCCGATACCACTGTCATTAAGAAGCTCAACGTCTCCGCGTCCAACTTGCAGAAAGCCTGGACGGCGACGAGGCGCGTCTCCAAGGATGATTGGCTCGAGTGGCTACGGAGCCTCTCCATAGGTACGTTCTCCTTTTACGTTCTTTTACTTCCACCTCCTTAAGTATTATTGAGTATTGTACCTTTAAAAATACCACGAAAGTATCGTGTCTTATGTGATACAGTGGTTTATCGAACCAGCGGAAGAAAGATGAATAAACGTTAAAGAAAAAGAAAAAAAAAGAAAAATTTCAATAGGTTTACTGAAGGAATCACCCTCTCCTGCGCTGAGGTCCTGTTGGGCGTTGGCCCAAACCTATTCTCAGTTACCACGTGACCTCTTCAACGCAGCATTCGTCTCCTGTTGGAGCGAGCTCGACACCGTTCATCGAACGGAGCTCGTGGCGACGCTCCAACAGGCCCTTATGGTGCCCGACCTGCCGGAAATCAGCCAAACTATCCTCAACCTTGCCGAGTTTATGGAGCACTGCGACAAAGGGCCCCTACCGCTGGACAGCAAGGTCCTGGGCGAGAGAGCAATGCACTGTCGAGCCTACGCCAAAGCCCTTCACTATAAAGAGGACGAGTTTCACAAGGGTGAGCGGTCATTTTTAATCGCGTCACATATTTCTTAGAATCGAATAATACTTCGTTGCCTTTAGGGATGAAAGTGGATCTTGAATATGATGTGATTATTTATCAAATCTCGTTATCGTTCCGTGTAATCGAAACTTTCATCCGGCTGCATATATTTGGGAAAGTAATATTTTCAACCGACAATATCTTCGATTTATATTTTATCGAATACACGTAATAACAATTGATTTGATATAACAATGACTAGCATACGAACTTCTTCAATAGCAAGATTATTATGGTGTCTCGATCGCGCGCGCATTGGCTTTCTTTCTCTTATCAAAGGTCTTAACGTCGTGCTAATGTTCCAGGTAGAAGCGGTGCCGTGTTTGAATCATTGATCAGCATAAACAATAAATTACAACAAAAGGAAGCGGCGGAGGGCCTCCTGGAGTATGTGATGAATCAGCAGCAGGAGAACAATAAGCAGGAACTGAAGGTTCAGGTTAGATGGTACGAGAAGTTGCATAATTGGGACAAGGCGCTGCACCTGTACCGAGAGCGACTAGAGGCCGATTCCCAGGACGTAGAGTCGACCCTCGGTGAGATGCGATGCCTGGAGGCACTCGGCGAGTGGGGACAGTTGCACGAGGTAGCGATGCGCCAGTGGTCATCTAACACACAGGAGACGAAGCAGCGTATGGCGAGGATGGCGGCGGCGGCTGCCTGGGGTCTCAATCAATGGGAGAGCATGGAAAAACACGTGGCACTAATACCCAAGGATACGCAAGACGGGGCCTTTTACAGAGCCGTCCTGGCTATTCATGACGAACAATATAATTTGGCGCACAGGCTCATCGATAGCGCGAGGGATCTATTGGATACGGAGTTGACGGCTATGGCTGGCGAGAGCTATCAAAGGGCCTATAATGCCATGGTGGAAGTGCAAAAGCTCGTCGAACTCGAAGAGGTACGGCCGTTTCTTTTATATTTATTTCTGACATTGGGCATGCTTTTCGCAAAACTAAACAAGTAAATGTGTGCACGTTTACACATTCATACCGTAATTATAAAGAGATCGGTCGCGTTGTCATATAAACAGATATTGTGACGTATATTGGAAGAATTGTGGAGTATATTGGAAATGATTCAACGAATAAGTAGACGAAGAACAACGGTAAAAATTGCTCAAGTGATTTGTCGAGATTCGTATCAAGACAAATGGTAGAACTTTGTACGAAGCATTGCAATGGCTAATGGCGTGAAATGTTCTAATAAGAAAATCTAATTTGTTTCGACGTTTAAAGTCTATGCTCTTCATTAAATTCTCTTCATAGGTAATTCAGTACAAGCTGGTGCCAGAGAGACGAGCGATAATAAAATCAATGTGGTGGGAGCGACTCCAAGGGGGGCAGCGTATCGTCGAAGACTGGCAGAAAATCATTCAGGTGCACACCCTTGTCATTTCGCCACAGGATGACATGTACACGTGGCTAAAATACGCTAGTCTCTGTCGAAAAAATGGCAACCTCATGCTCTGCCACAAGACCCTCGTCATGCTCCTTGGCAGCGATCCATCACAGACCTCACCCGATCAGCCGCTCCCCACGCAACATCCACAGGTTATATTATTGACATATTTTTTTAATTTCGCAGTTATTTGTGCACATATATGTTAATTTCTATCAATGTAACAAGACTACCTCGGCGCTCAATATTAACAGTGTCCGGCAAAACGTCGTATAAATAATACTCGATAATTGATATATTCCGCGTATCAATGATATCGAGAGATCGCAATCACATCTTATCGTATGCGCATTGTTGATACTTTAATGTAAGAGCCGAACTATATTATCAAATTAATATTCATATGTTATAAAAATATGAGCAAACTGGTATTAAGAGCATATATTCTCCATATACAAAGCAGGCACAATGGCATATTGTTTAAGCTAAGAAGATAAATTTTTCTTACAGGTAACTTTCGCTTATTGCAAGCATATGTGGGTGGCCGATCAGCGCGAAGAGGCTTACGGACAATTGCAGAGTTTCGTTCACGGCTTCCTCTCAAGTCAGCAACAGCAACAGCAGCAGCAGCAGCAGCAGCAGCAGCAACAACCACAACAACAGCAGCAACAACAACAGCAGCAGCAGCAGCAACATCATCATCATCACCATCACCACCACCAACAATTGCAGCCAGAGGACGATAGGCAACAGGTGGCGCGTAAACGACTTCTTGCTCGCTGCTACCTTAAGCTCGGCGATTGGCTCGAGGCTCTTCAGGGCATCAAGGAGGATTCCATACCTGCCGTGCTCTCCTACTACGCCGCTGCTACGAAACACGATCCCAGCTGGTACAAGGCCTGGCACGCCTTCGCCTATACGAACTTCGAGGCCGTGCTGTTTTATAAGCACCAGCAGGAAGAAACTAGTCTGACCGAGCAGAGCACCGCTACCTTGGCCAACGGCGTGACGCGAAGTAATCTCTCCTCGCAATATATATCGAGGTTCACTGTTCCAGCCCTCGAAGGCTTCATCAGATCGATTAACCTCTCCCATGGAAACTCGCTACAAGACACGCTTAGACTGCTCACGCTTTGGTTCGAGTACGGGCAGTGGCCCGAGGTATACGAAGCCATAATCGAGGGCATCAGGCTCATTGAGATCAACACGTGGCTGCAGGTCGCTATACTCTTCTTTTTTTTTCTTTCCTTCTCTTTCTTTTTCATTCTTTTCTCTCCCAAAACCGCCATCTAATGCATCGCTTTATCACGTGGCTGGGCGACATTAATAACCGAATATGATGATTTGTCCGTTCGTGAGCAGGTGATACCTCAATTAATTGCCCGGATCGACACGCCGCGCGCTCTGGTGGGCCGCTGCATTCACAACCTCCTAGTCGACATTGGCAAGACACATCCTCAGGCCCTCGTCTATCCCCTGACCGTGGCCTCGAAGAGCGCGAGTCATGCGCGCAAGACCGCCGCCAATAAGATTCTCAACAGCATGAGCGAGCACAGTCCGACTCTCGTGCAACAGGCGAAAATGGTGAGCGATGAGCTCATACGCGTTGCCATACTCTGGCACGAGCTTTGGCACGAGGGTCTCGAAGAAGCCAGTCGCTTGTACTTTGGGGAACGTAATGTTAAGGGTACGTTGAACACGTCGGACGACGAATTATTGCAATACGTGCAAGCAATAATGTCATTTGTGGCGAAGGTATAGATAGACCTTTTGCAACATGATGCTATATAGCGATTGCAATATCATTGTAATATTCACACCCATACACGCGCACGCATACGCGCACACCTGCGTGTAAAAATTATATAAATAATGACTGATAATTCATGACACTTGCCTTCCTCAAATCACTCAATAATTCAAAAATCAATTGCTGGTCGCATTGCAGGTATGTTCAACACACTGGAGCCTCTGCACGCGATGTTAGAACGAGGCCCGCAAACGCTCAAAGAGACGTCGTTCAATCAGGCCTACGGTAGGGATCTGATGGAGGCGCAGGAATGGTGCCACAGGTATAAAGTCTCGGGGAACGTACGCGACCTTAATCAAGCCTGGGATCTCTACTATCATGTCTTCCGACGAATTTCGAGGCAGTTACCGAAGTTAACTAGTCTCGAACTGCAATACGTCAGCCCAAAACTGCTACTCTGCCGAGATCTCGAGCTCGCGGTGCCCGGGAGCTATCAACCGGGACAGCCTGTAATCAGGATTGCCAGTATACACAGTTCCATGCAGGTCATCTCGAGCAAGCAACGTCCGAGGAAGCTTTGCATTAAAGGTTTCCATCTGTTAATCATTATCGTGTTCGTTAGCGCGAGATACGGAGTTTTTAAATATTGCCGTCGGCGATCAATTTGCTTCGTCGTACGAAGATTATTGAATCTTTGAAACATAAAAGAGTTTGCATCGTGCGTGAGACGCATTTGAATTGCTATGTGATCAAATTACGGACTTGAAATAGTGGATTACAGTATGAACGGGCGTCGTTAGCGTTAACGAGGGACTGTAATTTTAAATGTTAAAGGAACACAATTTTTCGACGTGCGCGCATTGAATATTCGAAAGTATCGCGACGGGTCGTATAACGAATAGCTTTAAATTTATTATGCAATTGTTTATAATTCAGATTGTTTCGTTTGCGTACAGGTAGCAATGGTAAAGATTACATGTTCTTACTGAAAGGACACGAGGACCTTCGCCAGGACGAACGTGTAATGCAATTGTTTGGTCTAGTCAATACACTATTACTTCACGATCCTGATACTTTCAGGAGAAATTTAACCATTCAGGTGAGGACAACAGGCCCTCGTATAAGCTATCGCATTAATAATTCGTTATAAAAACTCTCAATTAACTTCACTTTTTTTATTAATTTCACATGTTACAGAGATACGCTGTTATTCCGTTGTCTACGAACAGTGGCCTTATCGGTTGGGTGCCTCACTGCGATACTCTACACACGTTAATCAGAGATTACAGAGACAAGAAAAAAATTCTTTTAAATATCGAACATAGAATTATGTTAAGAGTGAGTTGAATTCTCAACAAAAAAAAAAAAAAAAAAAAAAACAAAAAAAAACAAAAACAAAAAAAATTAATAATACATCAATGAATAATTAGTATCATACGTATACAATTAGTAGAGTTTAAACGATAGTATGCAATTACCGTGCTCGTAAAACTTTATTTTAAATTTGCTCGTTACACAAGGTATAATCGCTTGTTACAGATGGCACCGGATTACGACCACTTGATGCTCATGCAAAAGGTGGAAGTATTCGAGCACGCGCTCGAGCATACTCATGGCGACGATCTAGCACGACTACTGTGGCTCAAGTCACCCTCGAGCGAAGTATGGTTCGACCGTCGCACGAATTATACGCGATCTCTAGCCGTCATGTCCATGGTTGGCTATATCCTCGGGTTGGGAGATCGGCATCCATCGAACTTGATGTTGGATCGATTGAGCGGCAAAATACTTCATATAGATTTTGGCGATTGCTTCGAGGTAATCGTAGGATAAGCTCTGGGTATCCTACAAGGCCGTCCCCTCCTATTGTCCTATTAATCCCCAACGTCCATCTTACAAACATTAGCCTTGCTACGGTTAAGCGACCAACCAATGGCTTAATACGTTTTATTGATAATAAAATATCTTTAGGAGGCGACAGCAGGGACGAGATTAAAAAGCTATTATTTATTTCCCAGGTTGCAATGACGCGCGAGAAGTTTCCTGAAAAGATACCGTTCCGCCTTACACGGATGCTGATAAACGCAATGGAAGTGACGGGGATCGAGGGTACGTACCGTCGTACGTGCGAATCGGTGATGTCGGTGCTGCGTCGCAATAAGGACAGCCTCATGGCCGTGCTCGAGGCCTTCGTCTACGATCCACTGCTCAACTGGCGACTGATGGATAACGCGGCGCCCAAGGGCAAGCGCAGCGACGCGCAGGGCATGAGCGCGAGCAGTAGCCAGGAACACGGCGACATGCTCGACTCGATCACCGCCACTTTACCAAAGAAAGGTGTTCCATGTAGTATCGAGAACGGAGGTAAGGATTGTGTCAAAATTTCTTATCGTTACGTTAGTTGGTATGCATGCGTTGCATTAGGCTTTTTTTTTTTTTTTTTTTTTGTTCTTGAACTTTCTATAGCCTCGGCCTTAATGATCTTTATAATAAAAATATCCTTATTATTGTATTCATATAATTTCATTTCGTATTAATATAATACATACTGACTCTGTTGTAGGTACGATACCGCGACACTTTACTATATTGGTTTTAATATATTGAAACATAGTTACCTAATGTAAAATATATTTTATCACTTTTTTACTTTTTTGTTCAACGGTAATAAGCTGAATTATTTAGATTGAAAATAATAATAATTAAACGGGAGTATTTTTATTAGATATGTGGCAATAGACATTTTTCTGTTGTCATGAATAAAATTTGGAATTAAATGAGTATTAATATTTTCGTGCTTATCTATACCTCTATGAAGTTTCCTCTTTACGAATTCAATTTTTTTTTTCTTCCGAGGACTAATAAATGACATTGTTAAGTAAGATTGAAATAATATTATTATTCTAAATAAAGTATGTGCTGTCACATATTCATTATTCCAGTATATCGAACTAGACATTAGGCTATGTTACTTTGTCTTCATTTCTTTCAATCGATTAAATATATTTCACTTGTATTTTATAAAAATTTATATTACTATATTTATTTATTTATTTATTTATTTATTTTTTTTTTTATTTATTTATTTATTTATTTATTTATTTATTTATTTATTTATTTATTTATTTATTTATTTATTTATTTATTTATTTATTTATTTATTTATTTATTTATTTATTTATTTATTTATTTATTTATTTATTTATTTATTTATTTATTTATTTATTTATTTATTTATTTATTTATTTATTTATTTATTTATTTATTTATTTATTTATTTATTTATTTATTTATTTATTTATTTATTTATTTATTTATTTATTTATTTATTTATTTATTTATTTATTTATTTATTTATTTATTTATTTATTTATTTATTTATTTATTTATTTATTTATTTATTTATTTATTTATTTATTTATTTATTTATTTATTTATTTATTTATTTATTTATTTATTTATTTATTTATTTATTTATTTATTTATTTATTTATTTATTTATTTATTTATTTATTTATTTATTTATTTATTTATTTATTTATTTATTTATTTATTTATTTATTTATTTATTTATTTATTTTTTTTTTTTACGGTTTGTTGCTTTTCAAACCGATGAAAAAGTTTCTTTTTTCCAATTATATCTGAACTACATTTATTAAAAACTAGTTCACTTGTAAACATAAATGACAATGTTTATTTTTATTTTCTACAAATAAATAACATTATAAGAATAAATAAAAATAATTGGATATGAAAGTATTTGATGTAACTAAAATAGTTTATTAATATCAATGATATAAATATCGGACGACATCTTGTTCATACTTTTGCCACGAGTGCTAGTATATTTATATAAAAAATCTAAACTCTAATTTTTGTTATTGTTAAAAATTAGTCAATTATATATTTAAAAGATTATGTAAAATAGCTAAATTTTAGAAATTTACGGACTGATGCGCATAAGATGTTATTAGAATACGAAATTCTTTTCACAGAGTTGAGAACGTCTAGTTAACTGGATAGATCTTAACAATGAATACAAATTGGATAAAATTATATGTAAATTAAATCGATTTATTCGTTAAATTTATAGGTGACAGTAATCAACCAGAAGGATTAAATGATAAAGCTATTCAAATCATAAATAGAGTTCGTGATAAACTTACTGGTCGAGACTTTTTGCCCGAGGAGACGCTCAGTGTTCAACGACAAGTGGACTTACTGATACAACAAGCGACAAATAATGAAAACCTTTGTCAGTGTTATATAGGATGGTGAGTTTATTCATGGATAATTACTTGGATAATAACTATATGTGTAGGAGATAAATAAATTTCGTCTTTATTATAATTTATTAAATGCTCTGTTATCATTCTGTTAAGGATAAATCGTAACTATACATTATTTTTCTGCGATGCTTCTTATTGTTATTGCACTTGACTGGATTTTTTATGTTTCAGGTGTCCATTTTGGTGAACAACTCAATTTTCGAGGCCTTTAATACAAGAGGGTGTTTTGCATTTCTGCGAACGTGTATTCTAGCGAAAATAAAAGAAATGAAACACAATAGGGATACAGTTAAGAATGCGCGTTTTACATAGTTCCTGTTAATGCATTGTGCATGTAAATATTGGAATGAATCTAAGTCTGAATGTGTGTGTGTATATATAGAAACGCTTATAAATGTATTAAAGCTAAGGTAATACAGGAGCATTCCCGCTTTAAAAAGAACGTCTATTTGTTTTCATACCTACATACCACAAAAATAAAAATACCAAATTTACTATTATTTTTAATTCTTTCTCATTATAAACTGCCATTATAGCTCGTATGATATTCGATATTAGTTCTTTCGTATTTATAATTCGAAGCTTGAATATATTATATGATTTAACGAGAAACGAGAAAAAAAAAATGAAATTATACTATTTAATGATGTCGATTGTAAATGTGGGCCAGTCGTTGCATTTATGTTATGCAGAGCAAGTGAGAAACATTACCAATTGAGATTATTGCATTATGTGTATCATATATAGTATTTCTGTATTAACGTGAATAAATAATACGTGAATTAATTCCATAATTGCAGTAGCTAATAATAGTTTTAAGAAATCGGAAATTTAAAAAAGGAAGCACGGAAATTCACTCTAGCAATATTTACTTTTATCTATCGTAATAATGTAAATTATTAAGCAAATTAACTGAGAGAATAGTCTTGTTTGTAATTAATACTATACGAATAATAAACAACAACAATAACGCCATATTGAATTTAAACGCAATATTCTTTCAGTCAACAATTCAAAAATAAAATTATAGTCATTAATGTTGTTTTTATTTTATCGCAATGACATCCAGAAGTCTATTTTCAACAATAAATGTTAGTTTTTCATCAACGTTGTTTTTACTTTTCCGCAAAGTTATCTAAAAGTCTATTTTCAATTAGAAATTGATGTTTTTCAAATAATTTCATAAGGTTACATAAGGTGCACATTATATTCTATACAAACAAAAGGAAAAAACACCCTAAACATTTACTAATTGGACCACGTATCGGATATTCTTATTGTTTCATAGATATATTATCGCTAAATTTTCTGAATGATAACAACACTCTTATCAATATCTTAATAATTTATCATAAGTGTATTGTTTTTTTTTCTTTCTTTCTTTCTTTTCCGTTTTAAGAGACAAAACGTCATTGGCAATTGTATTTGTCATTATAAAATTACATGATGCTTCTTAACACAGAAGCACCAGTCAATTAATATTCAATCACACTACCAATGATTTATTTCGTTAATAAATTAATCCTTATCTTTCTGTTATTTGATACAATAATTATTATAAAATTGCAAAAAGCTTCGTCGATTAATTTAAAAGATCCATAATGATTATCAGTTTCATTCGGTCAAGCGACTATTTTTAATAAGAAAAATTTTCAATCTTAGACATCTTGCTTTTTCGATTAATATTCATTGTTGCACGGTATTTCGACTATTGTTATAAATAAAATTGTCATAACTTTACTCTTCGTCGTACAAAACAAACGCCCTTAAACTGAATAATAATGATTAAAAAAAAATGTTGTTTCTATAATAAAAAGCCGTTTTATGATTAAAATTGCGATACTTGTTGCGGTGCAGTTTGCAGCATTCTTGCCGATGCATTTGCCAAGATAAATTATTGGAGTTGTCGTAATGGGGTGCGAGTTGGACCGCGCGGTTATCTAAAAAGAGCCAGCGTTGCGCACCTGCCGTACTCGCATCGGCTGATTCGTTAAACGGGCATGCTCGACGATTCGAAATTGTTTTTACTGCCCTTGCGGAAGACGTGGGGCAGGAGCTCGTGGGTCGTCGTGACGAGGGCCTGACGCATGTCCGGGCTCGCTATGTATACGGCGAAGTCGCCGAACTCGCTGAGCATCTGCCGACAGACGCCGCAGGGAGTGGTGAGACGGCCGTCTATCCTGTCGGCGACGATCCCGATCGAGCGGAACCTCTGCCGGCCCTCGGACACGGCCTTGATGAGGGCGCAGCGCTCCGCGCATATCGTCACGGAGAACGAGGCGTTCTCGACGTTGCAACCCGTCCGCACCGAGCCGTCCTCGCAGAGAAGGGCCGAGCCCACCTTGAACTTGCTGTAGGGGGAGTAGGAGAAGCTGCGGGCGCTCGCGCTCTCGCGTATCAGCTTCTGCACCTCCTCATCTGTCAACAGAGTGTTTAGTCGTGGGGTAAGTCCGACACTTGTGCGCTTGCGAGGCCTGGCAACCAATGCTGGGATGGTCTGAGATAAAAAACATGATAATAATAATCGTAGTAACAATGATGAAGGGAAAGAACAAGCGTTACTTAATTGGTGCTCGAGGTTACGAAGGCTCGTTGAATTTTGTGGGGCTATCAACGGAGAGGATAAATTCGATTTTAAGATTGTTATCAACCCTGTTGATTATTTGTATGCCAAACGTGGGGCTTACTCTAATGATATTGTCATCTTTGCGCCGACTTACGTAATGCTAAATGCGTTGCTTTTCTATTTCCGTAAGATAAAACTCATTGGGAGAGATGCTTTATCTATGAAAATTTCATAAACTTTATTGTTTTACCTATTTAAATTATACAAATTTTGTGTTCTCGTATGCTTGTGCGCTTGTGCGGGCGCGCGCGTGTACGTGATCGGGTGGATGAGTAAATGAGCAAGTGCATGCATGCCGATTATATCCTTGTTAAAATCGTGTTTTTATTATGTTTCAAGACTCGAGGTTATTCGATAATAATAATATAATATTACCAAGGGTTTGTTCTTAAAATTTATCTTATTTACGTCATTGTTCCGTGCTCCACTCAATAAGATTAATATTGATAATAGACAATGCAACTTTAGCACGGTGTTTACGTGGACGAATGGAGTAGTAAGGAGAAGGAAGTCGATTTTTACATTCAACTGTCAAATTGTTTATAATTAAGAAAAATGTGTGCGAATAATATGTACTAAAATAATATTGAAAGCTTTGAAAATAATTTAATTGATTATATAAGAATAATGCATCCAGAGTGCTATCTCTTTAAAGCATTTCCAGGCTTTTCAAAATAATATTCGGGATTTGTTCATTATTGTTGAAATAATAATCTCGAAGAACTCAAAGGGTAAAACTTTTTATTGTGAAAAGTTATAAACGACTATCGACGTCTCAATAAATTTTATACCGTAACAAACATATTATAAGAAATTATTTATAAATCTCGATCAATTTACAAATATAGCTTACAATTTCTTATTTATTTGATAAATCGATTTATATAAGATTATTTGTTCTAAAACGACTAAGCGCTGAATAAAATTAAAAAAAAAAAAAAAAGAACGTAAATATATTTACAATCTTTTAATAATAATAATAATAATAATAATAATAATAATACAACAACGAAAACGAAAACTTATTTTTTTATTGTGAAACACAAAACTTTTATCGTTTAGTATTTATCAAAATATTGCTGAATCGATTATTATTGAAATTACTTGTAATTGAAAGGAAAAAAATATTAAATATATTTAAAATATTACGTTTATCAGTAGACATGTTAAAGTGCGACAACAGAAAAACGGTAAACGCAAAATTACTTTGATTAATTTACATGATAAGCTTTGAATGTCTATTATGTTTTTGTTCAAATACATTAGTTGGAAAGATAATTTTCATGCAAATATATAAAATTGGTTGTTTTTTTTTCCTTTTTTTCTTTCTTTTTTTTTAACATACACGAATAAGAATTTTATTCGCAATAATTTTCAAGACGAATTAATATATATTTTCGAACATGCAAGAGAAACGAGAAAGAGAAAAACTTAATTTAAATGCATGATAATTGAAGGAAATTTAAATAAATTGTCAAGAAATGGTCAAAAAAATATTTTTACTCTTTAAAATTAAATTTAAAATCAATGCTTGTGAAATGCAATTGAATATGACCGATCGTTCTTCCAATTATTTAAATTTTAATTGTCAAAGAAAAAAGTATCCATTCGATAATTAATAAATTTATTTGCATTGCGACAAATAAATATTTAATGCACATACTGTAGAATATACAGTAGTAACATTAGTGATATTTATACGTAAGTCAGAGCAATATTTGTAGGTTAAATTCTGTTGTCAAAGCATAACTTATGCTTTTAATGTTAGCATTTACTAGTTATCATTATTATTATTATATTATTGTAAAGTTCATCGTGAATTAAACTTTTAACGAGTGACCAGTTCAGGTTTATCGTCTTTTTTTTACATGTACATGCTGATTTTCGTTCATAAGCATAATCAGCAGTGCATTAGATTTGTCTAGCACAGATTGATGGAAATACAATTGAATTCGCATTGTGGACAGAAAAATCTATTGTACATGGTAAAGAAATTATAAAACAATCCATTACTTTCGCATCACGTAATTGCTCGAAATGCCTTTACTTTTATGGGCATAATGTTGGCAATTTCTTAACGTAAATGCCCATAAAGTTTATCAATGCAATCACCAATTTGCTTGAAATTATTAAATAAATTTACCAACAATTTGAACGCAACGCATTTACGATGTCTTTATCCTTCTACAATGATTACTTAAGATTTTTTAACGTATCGTTCATTGTTTATGCACGTATGCCTTATCGATTGGGCTTTTCTCTCTCTTTTTTTTTTTTTTTTTTTTTTTTTTTTTTTTTTTTTTTTGCCATTGCAATGCTAAAGCTACTGAATACAAAATACTGTAAACAATAAGCGTGTGACTCTCTTGAAATTCCCTTCTTCCCGTCTGCTCATAAAAATGGAATAATTTAACGATACACAGCGCACTATCAATGTCGTATTAACTATGCGCGCGAAAAACTAACATTGGCAACTATATTTTTAATTTGAAAGTGGGCGGATATTATAAAAAAAACCCAAGTGTATATTTACCGAGTTGGTCGAAATCTATCAAACTGCCAACGCTCATTACAGACTGTACCTAGAGAATTGTTATATTATTTCAGCTTTCAACTCTAATGACAAGTGATTTACAATAGTGACAATATCAGCTGCTCTGAAAAATACGTGGCCTACGCATTAATGATATATTACGTTGAAATTATGCTCCCTTCTCTTTTAGCTCTGTCTCTTTTCTCAACACGCAGCTGCTTAGAATTGATTTAAAAAAGTACGCGTCTACGATAAACCTAACCTCCGATAGCGATACCTTGGCCATTGAAAGGAGCCTATAATGGGAAAATTAAATGTCAAATAATTGTCTAAGCGTGCGAGACTGAGACTATTTATACTTAATATTTCATTTGTTCAAGATGTGCATTGGTGGTGTGGTCGACGATAGCATTGATGTTACTTGTGCATCAATAGCTTAATACGATTGTGCATAATCATAACGATTATTAATATATCAGGCTTGAATAAAACAAAATATGATTTATCAAATTGTTATGCTCATTGTAGCTTTATTACACTATATATGCAATTGCTTTAAATAAGCTTCATTTATTGTAATAAAATACTAAAGAGCTACATAATAAAATAAAATTAAAATTTTTTAAATAATTATCAGACTTTGGATACGCTATTTTTACACGTTTAATTTAATGATAATAATGATAATAATGATAATAATAATAATAATAATAATAATAATAATAATAATAATAATGATAATGATAATAATAATGTTAATAATAATAATGATAATAATAATGATAATGATAATGATAATGATGATAATAGTATGTATAATAATTAAGATTTGTCGGTGTTTGAACATTTGAAAGTTTTTCAAAAAATATTTATTTGACAATGTCAAGGGATGTAATGTTTTTGAAACTTTTCAATCTTAAAAGTTTTCTCAATTCTCAATATTGGCTTTCATTATAAAATGGATAAAATTTCCAACAACTTAATAAATAATCTATCAAATCTAAAAGTTGGAAGAGTAAATAAAAAATCTTAAATTTCATAATATATTTAACAGAATTCAGTGGTATCAACTAATTTACCAAGCTACCTTAATTTTAATACAGATTTTAAAAGACGCATAGGTAACATAACAAATAGAAGAATCATCTTCGGTCTGTCATCGTTCTCTGCATGTTACACATGACTCATATGCATTAATAGGATATAAAAAGATTTTAAAATAAGATAAGAATTTTTTTCTGACATCAGTCATTCCTATCACGAAGAGGTGTATGTGGCTTATGGGGTGAAGCGACTGGAGTTGTATTTGTACTTTTGGGAAACAATGTCTTGTGAGGAGATGAAATGACATGCATATTTTCTTTTCCCAATCCAAGTTGACGTCGTTCATCAAACTTTAGCTTTTCATTGGCCTGATGAAGTTCGTTGATGAGATCACTTTTTGATTCAAGTTCCTAAAAACACATGATGCATGAATACTGAATAATAAATCTATTAATAAAACTTTTTGACATTATAAAATTTACACATTGAAACTTACATTTTTGAAAAACTAAATAACATATTTTATTAAATGCTTTAGGACTTTTTGGATTTATAACATTTTGGACTTTTCTTTCTTTTAGAATACATTCAATAAATTATAACAAAAAAAAAAAAAAAAATAAATATATATATTATCATATAAATATATTTATATATTATAATTATTCATGTAAATATTTTTGATAAAAAATTTAATAATAATATGAACACGCAGTAGACTCTGACTTAATAATATCTTGTTTTTATCTATGTGAATATGAAATTTTTAAGTTTTAATAAGTAAAGGGACCATATCCAGTATAATCCAATCACAATAGTGATAACTGAGACTGCACGAACCTGTCGCAATCGAAGAAGATCAACCTGTTGAATATCTATTTTTTCCTGTAATTGAGACATTTGTTTTATCCTCTGTTTGTGATTATTCTGATTAATTGTTTCTGTATATTTATCCGAAACTTGTTTGCACTGATCTTTTAAATGTTCACAAATTCGTTCATATTCTTTCACTTGCCTGTAAAAAATATTCATCATTATGATTTATTTACTCGTGAATAATTAACAAAAAATATTTATCCGATTTACTTTTCAAGCTTTTCTCTCTCAATTTGTTCACTTTCAAGACCTTTTGTTAATACGCTAATTTCGTCATCATATTTAAGTCGCAATTCATCAAAGTCGTATTTTCTTTTCTATAACAGAAGTAATGATAAATAAAAAAAATGCATTTTATATTGAAAATTCATGAAGCCTGTAATTTAATGTAATCAAATTTACCTCAATTTCATCTCTATTCTCTTTAAGAATTTTTATTTCTTTCGTCAGCTTTGACAACTGTTGGTTCATCTACAATACAACATTTTAATTAAAAATACTTTCAAATATCAAGGCTTCTCTTACTTTCATTAAATAAACGTACTTCGGTCATTTCAGTTATATTACACTGTAATTGTGTCGTAAACGAAAGACCATTTCCCTCAATTATTTGATTTTTATTATCCAACTGCTGCTGAAGTTTAATATTTTGCAATTCTAATTGAGATAGTTCGATTGATTGACCGTCATTTATTTCTTCTAATTTCAATAACATATTCATCGCCTCGCTCAGTCTATCAGACATTTGGCAGAGATTTCCTTTTAACTAATTAAATACAAAAAAGAAAAATATCATATACTAACATTTCCGAGATTGAGCAACATTCATCCGTACAATTATTTGATACCATAACGTTACCTCAATAATTTGTTCACACTTTGATTTACATTCCTTCTGAGCTTTACTAAGTTCATGTATCGTAACACTCTTTAAATTTTCTATTTTCGCATTAAATGCTGTCTTGGCTGTGTTAATTTCAGTTACGCTTTGTACTTCCAATTGATTAATAATATCCACTTTTTCTTCAACTTTATTCGTAATTGAATGCAGTTCTTCCTGTACCATTTTAGAATCTTGTACAATCGACTCAAATAAATCGCAATATCCCGTCAGAGAACCTTCGTTAGTTTGCAATTCTTTTTGCAGTCTTTCAACTTCAGCTTCACTTTGTGCAAGTCTATGAGTTAAAGCGGCAACGGATGCTTGATTTTCAGACATCACAACATCGAAGCGACGTCTTCTAGCAACCATTTCAGCCGATTCCATACGGATCTGATCTTTTAGATTTCTTAACTCTTCTTTCTTTTCCATCAGTTCTGCTTCAGCGCGGTCTAATTCAGCTTGCAAACTTTGACTAAAACTTTCCTAAAGGCATTATGTCGTAATGTATTACTAATTTAATTTATCGCAATTCTAATGAAATGAAATAAGTATAGGAACATTTATTATTGCTACAGGATATAATTATTTTAATTAAAAAATATCATGATTTATTTATTATAAAAAAAAAGGCTGATATTTTCTATATTTGAGAATATGGTAAATATTAGAGAGAAAATTCATAAGAATAAAATAAATAAGCCTTTGTTCGTTAAATTTATAAAAATCTAAATAACGTAGTTATGTATTCGTTAAAAAAGAAAAGAAAAAATCCTACTTGCGTTTCAGCTGTACACTTCATTTCCTCCAATGCCGCTGTTAATTGAATTATTTCCACATCTTGTTGTCCCAATTTCGTAGTTAAAGTATCTTTCTCATTTTCCAAGTGATCCAATCGACAATTATATTTCTCAGTGGCTTTACGCAATTCTTCTTCAGAAACATTTTTTGCTTCTCGCGTCAATGCATCAGTTTCGGCAATTACTCTTTTTACTCTTTCCTCACTTTCAGCTCTACACGCGTTTAAAGTTTCTCTTGTAATTGCTTCTGCATTTTCGACCATTTTATTTCCACCCTCTTTCATTCGTTTTTTTTCATCTTCTATTCTCTTCTCCATTGCCTGTTTCACCTCAGAAAGTTCCTCGTTTCTAGCTGATGTCATCTGTAATGCAGCAAATTCATTAATATCATATACAGATAAGTACAAGATAATACATAAAAAAAAAAAAAAAAAACAAAAAAAAAACAAAACTTATTTACATTATCAAGCTCTTTCAAGTATTCGCTTCTAGCTTCCTCTAGTAAATCCTTTAATTTCGTTCGTTCTTCTATATTTCTTTTTGATATCAATTCTAGTTCAGTTTTATGCACTGCTAATTCTTTAGTGTACTTATCATTTGCCAATTCCAACTGAGTTTTCATCTCACTCATAGTACAGTTCATCTATATTGAAATTATAAAAAATATTAATACGCGAGATTAAATTAAGTGTGAAAAAGTTAAAGATAGCAACAACAACAACAACAACAAAATTAATAAGTCATTCGTACATCTTTGTATAAGTCTTGTACGTCTTGAAGTTCCTCCGTTAAAAATCTATTAGTTTCATTAGTTTCTGTTAATTTATGTTTTAAATCTGTTACGATTGTTCGATTGGTCTCGAGTTTCTGCTCAAGATTTTCTCGTTCTTCATTGAAATTATCTCTCGATAATTCTGCTTCATGTTCGTACGCTAACTTTAATTTTACAATAAATGTTCTAATTGTTTTAAGAAACCTTTCAACATCTGGATGGAAGGACATACTTTTAACGTTCCACTTTCCATCGGAATTATCATAATCGATATATTCTTGTAGTACTCCAGTCATTTCTCCAATCAGTTGTGGATCGATTGTTAAAATCGCAGGATTATTATCATTATCGATACTATGAAAACTATCCTCAAAGTTAGCTACTTGATTTTCTGATTTTTGCAGCTAAAAGAAATTGTTAAAAAAAAAATAATAAAAATTATTAATTCAAAATAACATAGAAAATATCGATTTATTCATTACAGAACGGCAAATAAATTTATAACAATATACCTCTATTTGTACGTTAGTTAACGTGTGCTCTGTTTTTGATTGAAATTTCAAAATATCCGTCACTTGCAAGTCTTTCGTATCCAACGTATCATTCATATCTTCGTGTATTTTATCCAACTTTATGGTCGCTACTTCGAGCTTCGTCATTTGATTAATTAATTCATCTTGTTCTTTTTGCTTTCGTAATTGACGTTCTAAATTGCTAATCGTTCTCTTAAACTCTTCTTCAATTTTCCTCTTCTCATACATTTCTTCTTCCTGACTTTTCAAAATAAAAGATAACTGG